CCCATTCAATTGAATAGGCTGAAAATCTACTACGGGGAACGCACAGGATGGTGCACGGCATTCCTGTGCGATTCTGATGTGAACCAACCCTAAGGGCTTGTTTGGTTGGATACAAATGCAATGAATTGTTTGGGTTTTGAGTGTTTAAAGAGCAATTTATCACAGATCATGGTCATGTGAACTCTTCCCCCTTCCCTTACACACATTGCACATTCACTCGGCTTCCTTGTAGGAAAATCCGTCCACATTGCTCGGTGGATGAATCACGTAGGTGCGGCCGCGCAGTTTCCATCCATGGGGGTGTGGTGAGAGAGATGACTTGGCTGCTTCACATGTAAACATATTCAGAACAAGCAGACCTTTCAGACCCCCTCCTATCTGCGGTCCTCCCCAGCAGCCAACACTGCCTGGCAGGAAATCCACTCCTAATTGTAAACTGGTGCAGGAGTTGCATGATTGTGTTCCGGCATCGGCTTCTCCGGAGCTTAGAAGGTAAAAACTGCACAATGGGGGAGATTTACTAACACTGGAGCACTGGGAATCTGGTGCAATTGTGCATGACAGCCAATCAGCTTGTTCAGTTAAGCTTTGACAATATAACCTGGAAGCTGATTGGCTACCATGCACAGCTGCACCAGATTCTGTGTGCACCGCTTTTAGTAAATCTGCCCCAGTAGAAGTCACCATCTGCTAGACTTGTTCTGTAATGTTGAAGACGTTTTGTAACTTCTCTGAGCCACTTCTTATGAAGGAATGTCAGGAAGATGCCGCAACAATGAACCGCGTCCCGACCACGCTATAGCTAAAAGACGGCTACAGTGCAGTCATCCAGTTCTGGGAGGGAGTCCATTGATGTCCACATAAGTAGCACTGAAATCCTAACCCAGCATCGGGGTGCCGCGGCAGCCTTGTCTGCTGCCTGGGATTGTCAGGGGTGCTGCGCAGCATTTGGTAGATTTTTGCACAATGTCATGCATTTCCATTGTTCAGGGAGGCCTTCCATCAGCAATATGGAAACGCATGACTCTAATCCAGGGGGTGGGCGCCATTCAGGGCAGCCCCGGCGTTTAAAAGGAAGCAGATTTTCTCCTTTTAGACCCGCGCTGTCTCCGGCCCACTGCCATTCTGCCCCAGCCGTCCTGTGGCGAAGATCAGATGGTAGGTAGGGAACTTCTCTGAGCCACTTCTTATGAAGGAATGGCAGGAAGATGCCCCAACAACTAATTGCTTCCCGACGGCGCTATAGCTAAAAGACGGCTACAGTCATCCAGGTCTGGGAGGGAGTCCATTGATGTCCTCCCAGAACACCCCCCCCCCCCCCCACACGCGCGCGCTGTGGCACTTGACCGGCGTGCTCTGTGATCGCTGTGTCCTTTGGATGATCACACATCTTAGTGAAGGGCCAATCACAGCAGCCCTTTACCATGTAATTAGCTGTGTCCAATCACAGATGATCACAGTGTAAACACAATTGCCAGTTATTGACTTTTCCTTTCCTCAGGGCTGTTACAACTTGAGGGGAGGAGAGCCGGTAACCTGCAGGTGTGAAAGGGAACATCTACACTGATAAGCAGGGCAACCTCAACAGGGCCAATCAGTGCCACCTATAAGTGCGTGCCCATCAGTGCAGTCTCATCAGTGCCCATCAGTGCAGTCTCATCAGTGCCCATCAGTGCAGTCTCATCAGTGCAGTCTCATCAGTGCCCATCAGTGCAGTCTCATCAGTGCCCATCAGTGCAGTCTCATCAGTGCCCATCAGTGCAGTCTCATCAGTGCCCATCAAAGCTGTCTCATCAGTGCCCATCACTGCTGTCTCATCAGTGCCATCTCATCAGTGCCGTCTCATCAGCGCTCATCAGTGAAGGAGAAAAATTAATTACTTATTAAATTAATTATTTTTTTTCAGTTTTCTGTCTTTTTTCGTTTGCTTAGAAAAAAAACAGTGTTGATAAAATACCACCAGTAGAAAGCTCTATCTGTCTCAAAAAAATGATAAAAATGGTTTTTGGATACAGTGTTGCATGACCGCACAATTGTCATTCAAAGTGCAACAGCACTGAAAGCCTGGGCAGCAAGGGGGTAATGTGCCTGGTACTGAAGTGATTAAATCCACATAAGTAGCACTGAAACCCTAATCCAACATCTTTCAATCAGGGTGCCGCAGTAGCCTTGTGTGCCGCCTGGGATTGTCAGGGGTGCTGCGCAGCATTTAGTATATTTTTGCACAATGTCATGCATTTCCATTGTGCCGGCAGGCCTTCCATCAGTAACGTGGAAACGCATGACGCAAATCCAGGGTGTGCGCCATTCAGGGCAGCCCCGACATTTAAAAGGAAGCAGTTTTTCTCCTTTTAGACCCGCTCTGTCCCTGGCCCACTGCCATTCTGCCCCAGCCGTCCTGAGGCAAAGATCAGATGGTAGGTAGGTGGGGGGCTGAGGAGTTTGATATGAAAGGGTGTGAGGGGGGCGGGGGAGAGTCAACTAGGGCAGGCCATAGATGGTGTGATTTTTTTTATTTTTTTTCTCCCCTGCACCCCGTGAAAATCGCTCGATTTCTCCCCTTCAACACAGTCAGTATTGATAGGGCAATCTCTCCTTAGGAGCTCTTGTGTTCTCCCGGCGGGGGGGGCGCAGGAAGCCATCCCTGGTGGGAAAACACGGTGGTTTTTGCTAGCGGCTGTACCCCCTGGCAATAGTCGCATGCCAAAAATCCGACATGATGGTTTAGCCAAAGTCGATCGATGGATCGACTTGGGTACATCCAGCCTGCCCATAGATGGTTAGAATCTGGGCCTGTCTCTGCTGGACCAGCCAAGAGTCAAACCATCGGCTGGCTGAAAGAGGGCTACATTCACATCTTGAGTTTGTAAATGTGTACAAAATTGCGCCGTTTTTGTGTGCGTTTTTGCGCCATACACATAGGACAGCCCATTAACTTCACTGGGCTGCCCTACGAGCAAAGAACGCAGCAAAGTAGCTTTCTGACACCTTTGTTATATGTTGCAAGGAAGGGGAGGTGTGTGCCATCCATATCGGGAGAGCAAACTATGGTGACACCACCTCCTCCATAGATATAGTACAGTCAGTGAGCGTTGTCACCCTAGGACAGGAAGTATGTCACTGGCAGGATCGCCAGGGGAAAATAAAGGAAAAAAAGCCTGAAAAAAGGATCGTATTGTGCTGGTGATATGTAATCCGCACATTACACTCAATTCTCAGGCTGCATTTTTAGCGGCTTTTCTTTGGGCACTGCAGGTTCTATTTAGATGTGTTTTGCATTACATGCAAAGCGGGCGGAATGAAGCCTTCGCATTCAAGCGCATTTACTTGAACAGCAACGGCGAGGGGCTACGTTCAAAAACAAATACTCGGTGTGGGAGAAACTTTGAAACATTAGCAGTAAGGAGCATATTGATAAAGCTGGGAATCTTACATTCCCCAAACATTCACTGCAGGTGAATCTTCCAGGTTCGTGTGTTTTACATGACAGCGATTGATTCACCTCCAAAGGAAGTTTGAACGTCACATTCACTGCTTTATAAAACATGCCCCTAGGGGCTCATTTTCACGGATGGCAAAATCAACATTTGAACTGTGTTTTTACCACCCTTAGCTGCCAAACTGAACTAATGCCGGCTATAGGCGGTTCGAAAATCGGCTGATTTTTCGTCCGAAAAAAAAAAAATCGGACGATTTTCTCATTGTTAATGGGTTAATTGGTCAGCCATTTTACGGGTTTTTTGCAATTTGAGATTATCGGATATGTTGGAAAATTTGCGGCCGATTTTCCTGGCAATGATGGCAGAATCAGCCGATCGTTTTAACGATAAAAAATCTGCTCATGAGCCGTGCACCTGCAAGGGACAGAAGTGTGGGGTGAAAAATCAGCCATTTTTTTTTAATCCTTGGTGGTAACGTCGGCCGAACGAACGACCGATTTGTCGTCTATCGTTTGAAAAATCGTCCGATGTTCAACCCGTCTATGGCCTGCATAAGGCGTGCAGACACAGCATGTTGCTTTCAGCAGCTGCCAAACACAACCCATTCAAATGAATGGGGCCCACCGCTGCTGCCCTGTTGCAGCTCGGTGGGTCAGCATTTTGAGGATTAAAGCAAGCGGTGAGGAGGCAACGTATCACTTCCTCACCGCCCATCAAACGCCTCCTGAAAAGCGATCCAACACAGATCAATTGCTTTTCAGAAGAGTGGCAATATAGCTACACTTGTGAATGAGCCCTAAAAGTTAGATCTCCTACTATAACCCAATCACAGCCCTCCGCTCACATCATTGAGGTCTTTTTTTGAATGGCTGAGTTTGTTGTGAGCGAGCGTTGACGTCTCTGCCTTTGTGCTGAGATCCAGCAATGGATGCTGAGCTGCTGGGGACGGGGAGAAGAAGTGGAGGGTTATTTCCTGCCATCAGTGCCATGGCTGGTAATTAGATTTATTATCTGCTGGGGGAGGACAGGAGGATGACGCAAGGCACCATGGGACACAGGGGAGCTGTGATATTATCTGTGTCATTTATCACTGGAACACCGAGACAGAAGTGTTCATTAAATAGACGTCACACTGAAGTTTATTCTGCTTCCTCCTTTCCCCTCTCATTAACATGCTTTAAATAAAACCTTCCCGTTGTCATTACATTACTGTATCACCAGTGACCTCATCACTGGGTCTCTGTGCACCTCTATGTAATGCAGGCAGATCATGGCTGGTGGGAGGGGGGCTGTACATAGCTTCCTGAAAACATCACAGCACCCTGCCTCAGGAGTCCTCAGCCTGGTGCAAGCAGTGACTGCGGCCATAGTACAGGAGATGACCAGAGACTGCGGACACAGTACAGGAGATGACCAGAGACTGCGGACACAGTACAGGAGATGACCAGAGACTGCGGACACAGTACAGGAGATGACCAGAGACTGCGGACACAGTACAGGAGATGACCAGAGACTGCGGACATAGTACAGGGGATGACCAGAGACTGTGGACACAGTACA